ATGCATTCTCCAGCATCATTTCTATCACCAAGGCCATATTTTCCAACTACTGATCCTTCCTCTTTGCTCCCAACTTTTGCATTCTAATCACCAGTAATGATCAATACATCTTGATTGCATGTTTGAACAATTTCAGATTGAAGAAGTTGGTAGAATTCTTCTATTTCATCCTTACTGGCTTTAGTGGTTGGTGCATAAATTTGAATAGTGTTATTAACTGGTTTTCCCTGTCGGGGCAGGGATATTATCCTTTCACAGACAACGTTATACCTCATGACTGATCTGGATATGTTCTTTTTGATAATGAATGCAACACCATTCCTCTTCAATTTGTCATTCCCAGCATAGTAGACCATGTGGGTTGTCAGATTCAAAATGGCCAATGCCAGTCCATTTCCGCTCACTAATGCCTAAGATACCGATGTTTATGCGTTCCATATCATTTTTGACAACTTCCAATTTCCCCAGATTCATACTTCGTACATTCCATGTTTTCAGCTGTTTCTCTTCATTTTGATTGTGTCCCATCAGTAAATGAAGGTTCCCACGGCCTTTCCTCCCACGAGTTTTACTCCATTCGCGTTATCACAGTCAACTCTACTTTGAGGATGCAGCTCTTCCCCAGTCGCATTTTGAGTACCTTCCAACCTAAGGGGCTCATTCTCCGGTACTGTATCTGACAGTGTTTCTCTGCTATTCATAAGGTTTTCAGTGACTAAATATTTGGAAGTTGTTCATCACTCTTTCTTCCTGTGTCTGGAAGCTCATCTGAAACCTGTCCATCATGGGTGACCCTACAGGTATTTCAAATACCGGTGGCATAGCTTTCAGAATCACAGCAACTCTCAAGCCACCATAGTACGACAAACTGACAGATGAGTGGTGGCTATCTGGTTTAAAGTGGAAACTGTCATTTTAAATTCCGAGGAGATCTGTATGCATGCGTAGTAGAACCCTCCAAGGGTTGGAGTGGGGTGTCCATTCGCTCAGGCACCCCCTCTAGTCACCAGAATGGAGGTGTGCAGACAGCGAAAAGACCAATGAACAGATGCCAAAAAAAGAATGTCCACACCTGTATCTCTGCGGTTCTGTCAGGTGTCCATGGCTGCTCTGATCCTTCCCCCACTTGGTCTCTCCCAAGATGGTGGCTCCAGGAGCAGCTGAGCATCTTGAATTAGAAAGCAATGGATTTCTTGATTGTGCTACAAATTCCCCTAGCTGTAAGCCTTCCAATCTTCTAAATATTACTTTATATGTGGTTCATTATTTCTCAATATAATCTCCATTTAGATCACACAATTCTTAAGCCAATATTTGCATTTTTTAAGCCTTCATTAAAGAAGTCTACATTATTTGATTTACACCAGCTCAAAACGGTAGTTTTGGCATCTTTGAGATCATGTTCCTTTTTAATTTGGGGAACAAAAAAGGTGTGAAGAGACAAGGTCAAGGATGTAGGGTAGATGGGATACGATTTCCAAAGAAATTCTCCTAGGACAATCCTTGCTACCCTTGAAGAATAATTAGTCGGACTGTTGTGACAGTAAAAAATTCCTTGGCACACTTTTCCTGGCTTTATTGTAACCAATGCAGTACTCAATTTCCTGAAAACGTCTTCCTAATAAGCCCCTGTGGATAATACTGTGCCTTTTGAGAAGTGTTATCAATATTATCCTCTTTGGAATCCCAAAAAACTGAGGCCACAACTTCTGTTGCTGTTAAGTGCTGTCAAGTTGGTTCTAACCCTGAATAACTCTAGATAAGGTTTTCAAGGAATGGTTGGTGGGTTTGAACCACCGACCCTGCGGTTCAAACTGACCTCGCTGTCCAGCACATTATCTTGCAGTGCCACAACAGGACTCTAAAACCTTCTGAGCTGACTTGAATTTAACTGGCCCAGCAGATACCCTCAGAAGCCACAGTTTTAACTGGACCTTTTTTTTTTTTTTTCCTTTTTAAGGTACCTTAACAAGACTAAGATAAGTGTACTTAGAGACAAGAGAACTTGTCTGTGGCCATGTCCTTGACATGTTTGAATATGTTTTGTTTGGAATAAACCAATGTATGACTAAACTGGTATACTAATAGTATTATTTTTTGATTTCCCATCATATAAGAAGGAAAAGCTTCAAAAAGTTTGATGAAAAATGAAATTGGAAGAGAATGGAATTTTTCCATAGATTTTTTAAAGGCCCTCATATTTACATTCAGTAAGTTTAAATGATAAGTATTAGTCAGATGCTGCTAAATATTGTCCTTTTTTATTCACAGATTATTAGCCAATGGGAATATATAAACTGTTTCCATGAATGAAGAGCAATATAGCAGTTAGGCTAGTTGTATGATTTAGTTCAACAAAATTGCCACTGCTTTTTAATTTAGTATAATGGATAACTATAAAAATGATTTTTGGGCCTGCCTTCTTGTCCTATGGGCTATATAGCACTGGCATATGAATGCTAAGTCTGATATCTGTTTTTCCATAGAACCACTTTGGTGACCTGGATGGTGGCCACTACACTGCTTTCTGCAAGAACTCAGTTTCCCAGGCCTGGTACAGCTTTGATGACACACGAGTCAGTGAGATTCCAAAAGCTTCAGTTCAAACTGCTACAGCCTATCTTCTGTTCTACAGCTGCCAACCGTTTTCCGTACCTATACAACAATGCAAGAGCTAGGAAAATGCATTCTGAAAACTGCAAAACAAGCAATCAGAAACTGGTAGCTAAGCTTTGCTTTGTCATTAAACTCTTGAAATTTACCTGAATCATTCATCTTTCTTTTCAAAAGATGGTGTCTGGCCTACTGAAAGAGTTACTCAGAAAATAATCCTTCACTAACAGTGGGCCTTCATACCACTATAGATTATGTACTGAGCTCAGACTTCATATTCAATGTTTATTACAGTGGATTTCTACCATAAAATTTTTCATTACAATTACATGAGCATGTTGTTGTTGTTAAGTGTCGTCAAGTCGGTTCTGACCCATAGCGACCCTGTATAGGGTTTCTGAGGAACAGCTGGTGAGCTTGAACTGCCGACCTTGTGGTTCAACCCAACTTTGCAGTCCAGCGTGTTTACTCAGAATCATACCAAGAGCATATACCCAACAAACTATTTTCCAAAAATAATTTCATGAGGTTGAAGTTGAACCCAAATAATTTTTGTTCAAATGCCTCTGTCCATAAGAATGTGATTTGAACATATTTGACTGTTAAAAAATCTTGTAGTCAAGAAACTACAAGTCTTAGACTAATTGCAGAACATGAGAAGTTATCACTTACCCATCCTTCCATCTTCTCCCTAAAAGTCCTCTACTGGTAATGTTTCCAAGGAGCAAGCACTTTAAGCATCTGTTTTCTATGGAGTGCTTGAATGACTTTATCTATAGCAACTCAGTACCTTGAGGTAAACGCTCTGACTCTTGGTCTTGATGCTTCCCTTCCTCTGTCTCTCCAGTGTCACAGCATTCAGTCCCTGGGTTGAGGAGGTTCTATGCGCAGGGACATGCTCCACTTCCAACTCTATTTCCTTGAAGGTAGTAAGATACCTTCTCCTGTTTCTAGGTTAAAATGGCTCATTTTAAACCTAGCAGGATGGTAGCATTGACCCTCACTAGATTTCCAAGTGTTTACAATCACAGCCCCACTAATAATCACTCACAAGTGAATCATACATTCTATCGGCATCTCCCCCACCTTCTCTTACCCACACCCAACAGGAAAAGTCCTTTTGTAGGTGTTTACACCTTCTGCTATGGCTAGAAGCAACATGAAATAATTCCCTGCACCACAGACGTTCTGCTACTATTCTAGCTATTCCCTCTTTACTTTTTAGTTGTCCTGATTGACAGTTTGATAGCTCTGGTTTTCTATTTTTGGTCTTGTAGGTAGGTTTATTTTACTCGAGATACTTCTATATGACGCACCTCTGGTAGCATAGTGGTTACAAATCGGGCTGTGAACCTCAAGGTCAGCAGTTTGAAACTACCAGCTGTTCCATGGGAGAAAGATGAGGCTTTCTGCACCTGTATGATTTACAGCCTCGGAAACCCTGTACAAGGTCGCTATGAGTTTCAACCGACTCCACAGCACGTAACAACAACAACAAACTTCTATATCTGGGTTGATGTTGTCATGTATGTTAATTTCAGGTGGTTGTCATTGTTGATTCTCTGTCCAGAGAACTTCCTTTAGTATTTCGTATAAGGTAGAACTCTACTACTCTTGATAAAATGAATCTGTGTGCTAAGTTCTTAAATATAATTTGACCTCCAAGTGTGAGTGCATATCTGGTGTCAAGGTGAAGTTAGCATGGGATTGATGCAACTAAAATCTAAATCAAAGTAGCAGGATAAAGTGTGTATGTACAAAATGTGTGCATTTGTGTATAAAATCAAGGGTTCCATGGTTCTGTGTTTGACAAGGTAACATTAAAGACAGAACACTTAAAGGTTAAGTTATCTTTCTCATTAAGATTTTAATGTAGGTGTAAATGAAATTCTCATTTAAAAAATTAAAGAAAAGTTTCCATTTATTTTTTTAGAATAAAGATTTAGTGCACAAATACAGCCCAAAGCCAACAGAAAAGTAGCTTTGCCCTGTCATTTCCCTAAAAAGCAATGCAATTACTCAGAATAGGACAAACAAAAAAAAAAGCAATCCTCTGAGTGGTAGGTTTCTCAAATGTCCGCATGTTATATACTATGTACATCGAGCTGATGTGCAAGTGTGCAATAAATATATACACATACATTCCTCTCTGCTTTATATCATTCTAGAGTACTCACAAGTAACTAATTAAGCTGGGATTCCGAAATGTGAAAAGGGAAAAAAAAAAAGATACATTGGCTTTTTAGACTGATATTATAGTAATAATAATGCTTAACTAGATCATTAGTTTAACTTTGGAGCAGACTAAAAAAGTTGTTTTGAAATAAATGGTACCTGTAAGGATTTCTTACTGAAGTAAGTGTTGGAAGTTACTCGTCAGCTTTTCGGTATTAGCACTGACTAGGAATCAATGATAGTAGTCACACAGCTTCCACTGTCTTAGCATCCCTCTGAATGGCCAGCAATTGCTTTTCAGTATCTGTGTGAACATCTGAAGAGCTGTGTTGCTGAACCTTTAAAAAGAGAACCAGCTTACTACCTATCTGTCTTTATGTGGCTACATCAGCTGCTCGTGGTCCCAGTGAAGTATAAAAGAGGATGTAAGCTGCTGAAGATTTCACAGAAGACACGGAGATCTCAGAAACGTCATGATCATCAAACTTAAACCACCGCTGTCTTGCTGCGTTTTTACAATAGGCAGTGTAGTGGCCTCCATCCAGCCCGCCGTAGTGGTTCTGTGACAAACAGACAGAAAATCAATCTAAACTGAGTTATTTAAAATATGTCTGTCATTTCAAAGCTTACTCTCCTAGGAGGTAAGGAATGACTTTAAACTCTTAGTATGCTTGGAAAAAAGAGTGAAATATTTATGAGATACTTACTGAGACGGAAAATAAGTTATATTTCTTCAAATTGTTCTTTGGACCAATAACATACTGCGACAAGTCAAGATTTTCTAATGGAAAGTCTACAGATGTCTGTAATTTTTGCTTCCACCTCCCATCGTAGGAAAAACTGAAGAGAAAACATACAACGATGACACTGGCAAGCCAAAAACATCTGAATGAACTTCTACTCATTCATTAACTATCCGTATTTTAGCCAGGACAATAAAACCTATTTCAGATACACAGACTCAATCTTACTAGTGGAAGGTCTTGTTAAATACATTTGGTTTCATTTGAGGCACGGAGATCTTAAATGACTTGCCCAAGGTCGGAGAGCTTGAGTGGCGGAGTTAGAACCACTCTGGTCCTTAACCCTGACTCAGATCAGCTACAACTAACTGTTAGGTGAGTTTGCTACAAAGTAACAATGTGTGACAATTTCTTTGAAAACCAATGTTGATAATGCTCATCACCATAAGAAAACAGAATAAAGAATGAGAGTTGTTCTAGATTTAAGACTGGGGAAAATAGAGTCAGAAAGTGCAAACAGGTAGAAAACTGACAAAAATAATAGCATTCCATTATTCTGGCATATTCTGCTCCTTTAAACAGTAAAATACTGGCATTTTTTTGGTGTAATGTAGCTATTCCAGAATTTTTTTTTTTTTAATGTGCACTGTGACCATTTATCTTTTTAGATATTCCTCAAGAGTTATATTCATGTTACACTAAACTTTTAAGAAAACAAATATGGACTCATTCACAGAATGTTCACCTGTATATATCACCATAATCCTCAAAAGGAGGAAGAAATAACTGAAAAACTAAATCTTCATTAAAAAATGCACACAACATTAAATGATCATAACTATGTGCCTTTGCCTCCTGTAATAAAATATGACAAAATAAAACAAATGATTTCTTTAAAACATAATTGACAGGTCTCAATAAAAAATAAACTTTCTTTTAAAAAAAAAGTCAACTCACTGTTATTTATCACTCATAGACAGAATATTACATGAAGATGAAAAAATCAAAAGAAAAAATCTTGGGCATGTTTCATAACTCTACATTATTCCTTCTACTACAGGAAAAAATCATGGCGACCGCATGCCCCATGTGGTATAGAGTAGAACTGCTCTTATCCTGTCAAGCTATAGTCTTCATTTCAAGCTATACATGGGATGTCATGTTTTCAAATCAGATTTCCATAGCTGACTTTTCAGACACAGACCCCAGGCCTTTCTGCTGAGGTATCTGTGGCTGGAATTCCACCTCCAATCTTTCAGTTAGGAACCAGGTGCATTAACCATTTCCACCACCCAAGGACTTTACGGTCAGATATTTTTTCACTGGCTGGAAAAATCTGGGCAAAAATATGCTGGCATCATTAATATATTTTATCTTTAAAATTGTACTTTACAAAAGCATGTTATTTCATTTTGTTATGTTTAGTCTGCTTTTTGAATGTTAAATTACATCTGTTAATAATCTGTTAGAACTATACACTTGCTTTTATATGTTTTCACTTGATGTTTTAAAATTTTTATATATGAAATGCATATTACTTAGTTTCACTAGTTTTTAAGACCTGAATTACTTGGAATAGTGGTTATTGTTATTAATTGAGTCCTCCTTGTTTCTGCCTTAGTCCCTGGAGCTACTATAAGCAGCTGATCTATCTCTTTGTCACGGATTCTTAACAAACAGTTTAATAGTGTAAACTGCACAGGACTTGGAGTCCCCTCATCTAAAATGTACTGACAAGTAGAAACATTGTCTCTTTACCGTTTTAGATGTACTAAAAGCACTGGTGGCAACTTCCATATTTCTATCTTTTTTAGCGAATCCCGTCGAGCTCTGCAATGACTGCAGTAAAACCTGTTGTTATCTGTGAGTTTTTCTTCTTTGGAAAATAATCTAAGGCAATCCTGGTGGGGGAAAAAAATAGCAGAGAACCATTAATTCATTTCTTCATCACAAAAGTCACTAAGCACCTATTCATTAAGTCACTCTGCCAGGCAATAAGGAAACACAGGAAACTAAAGCAAGAAACAGTTCCTGTCTTCACATGTATGGTCTAGAGAGGAAAGCAGACAAGCGAAGAGACAATCCCCACAGTCAGTGAGTGCTGGGTGGGGAGAAGTACTGTCTGTCAGGACAGCACACAGGGGACCCCGGATGTGGAAGATGGCTTGAGAAAACGACATTCTGCAGACAGCAGGAGGAAGAGTCAACAGAATGTAGAAATCACATCACTGCTACGTGGGAAACAGCATATATATCTGATTCGCCATGTGAAACCAAACTCTTGTATAATGTACACCTAAGTTAGATCTTCATATAACTTTCCTAATGAATCTTTAAAACTTCTAAAAGAATCATTCATAAAAAGGTATCTTTAGAAAACAAAATATTTTTCTCTAACCTACATACCCTAACTACAACAGAGTTTATGTGCAGGTTTTACATATGCAACTTTCAGAGGTGAAGACTAGAAAAAAGTGGCTGAATGCAGGACATCTCTATTTGCATCAGAATACTATTTATCCAATAAGCCAGTTTCCTCAATTGAGCTCACCTGTAGAGTACATTTACTTGTGGATGCTAGCGGTAGAGACAAATACATAAAGGCTTCAAATGTCCTAGACTTTTTATGACACGTGAGGCACTGTACTGTGGACTTGAATTGACCCTGAAAAAGTGCGACAATGATCGATTCATTGAGCTGCTTGTGCTTCTGCCAGGCATGCTCTGCTGCTTTAAAATCATCGAGATGATCATTATTTTCTTCTTTATGTCTCTTCCGATTATCAGCCTGGAAAGAAGTGTATTTAAACTCCACATTAATATTGCAAAGATAAGAATTAAATATAAGACTGGAAGAATACAATTAAATCAAACACTTTGCAGAACTAGAAATACTCATACTTCTCATAAAGGTATACTGATCTCATTAAGTACTATGAAAAGTCATTTACACACCCACACCCCAAAACCAAAACCACTCCCCACCCAAAATAATTCACTTTATCAAAAGGGCATTACTTGAAAGGAGACGCAGATAGGTCTCTTGTGATACAATAGCGAATAATTGTTATCAGGACTGATTGTGAGGGCTGGAAATGAAAAGGTAAACATTTTGTAGCAAAAGGAGGGGAGTGATTGACTTTGCAGTCTAGGAGCGGTGGTCCCTGGGTCCATCAAGGGAGAAAGAGCAGCGAGCGGGACGCTACCCAGAGAAGCAGTGACACCAGAGATGGAGGCAGAGACAATGACGTGGAGAGATGGAGCACCTGGGAACTTAAGACCCAGAGAAGGAGAGGGGCTGACAACTGGGGGGGCAGGCTTGCAGAATAACAACTAGACAGATACAATTTCTTTATCTTAGCCTTACAGAGCCAGCGCTGTAGGATAAAGCACTGAATGCTAATGGCAAGGTCAGCAGTTCCAACCCACCAGCCGATCCTTGGAAACTCTTATTCAGATGTTGCTATGAGTCAGAACCAACTCCATGGCACTAACAATATATATACTCTTGGAGTCCTAGGATTAGCACTGAACTGCTAACTGCAAGATCAGCAGATGTAACCTACCAGTCGCTCCCAGGGAACCTTATATAGGGTTGCTATGAGTTGGAACCCTTTCGATGGCACTTAAAAACAATATATATCCCTATGAAATATGTTTGTTTTACAGTTCCATATCTAAGTACAAAGTTACTAGAGTTGAATAAATCGCTGAATAATTCACCAATTATAATTTCATACATGAAAAGATTACACTCTACTAAGAAACCCTAAAGAGCTTTTGCAATTTCGAAAAACCAAGTTTCTTACCTTATTTAGATCTTCATGGAGACCATCCATTAGGAATAGAAGCAGTTCTTGTGAATCTTGCTGGCTGTATCCTGCAAACTGGTCATTGATCTTCCCAATGGTGATTTTAAATTCTCTTGGACTGACATACTTATACTGCCCTGTCCACAGGGCTTTCATAATTATACCAAATTCTTCTGCCACTGCACCTTTATGCCCCAACAAATTTGATCTTTGAAAACAAAATTAAAATGATAAAAAGCAGTAATAAAGGCAAAAAATTTAAGTTACGGTACAATGGGTTCTTGATGCTAAACTGTTTACATACTGTCACCCTATACTACAATACTTAATTACTCAAAGTTTTATTACAGAAACTTACCTGAATCTTACTTTGATATTACACCCTCCAACCTGACTCTTCTGGCTGATAGCCTTGCACTGTCTCTTCTTATCCACTAACAGGCTCCAGTTTAGGACAGAGGGTCTACCGCCTTCTTACACTACTCCTTCCCCATCTGTCATTTACCAGGGAAGGCTTGTCTCTGTATTTTTCATAAAAAGTAAAGATATAACTAATTTGACTCTCTGAAGCTGGGTGGTAGATCAGTCTGGTGATAACAGCCTTTTAACATTATATTGCAAAATCTACAGAATTTCTTTACCTGTTAATATCATCCTGATACAAGTTTCGGTTGAAATAATCAGCTAAATGTGGAGCATTACACAGGCACTGCAATATTGAGTTCATGTAACAAGTATTTCCCAAATTCCGAAGCCCAGTGAGAGCTGGCCCAGAACCTCCAATCACAGGATTGAGGTTACGAATCTGAGAAGCAGAAAGCCTTGAGATTTCAGCTTTAGGGTAGCATGTAGGCCTGAGGGAGGAGGGGAAAAAAATGCAGAGCATTGGAAAATATGGTTCATGATACAAATGGCAGCAAATTATAGCACCTAAAACCCAGTAACTCTTAAAATAGTTAATAAAGTAACTCATGTGGTGGTGGTGGTGTTAAGTGCCATCAAGTCGGTTTCAACCCATAGCAACCCTGTATAGGGTTTCCGAGGAGCAGCTGGTGAGCTTGAACTGCCGGCCTTGTGGCTCAAGCTGACTTTACAGTCCAGCGCATTAACCAACAGTGCCACACCAGGACTCATATTATACTGGGCCTAAAGGCAAAGCCATATCTAGGTTGTATTCTGGAATCCTTTCATAGAATACATACCTTTAATCTCTTAGGTGGGCCCAGGGTTCATATAGATACCAAGAGATGGATTATTGAACTTCTCATGAACACAGAAGTTTCTTTCAAATACTTTAAAGTAGTCCCAGCAAGTTTAACACTGTTGTTAAGTGCCATTGAGTCAGTTCCGACTCATAGAGACCCTGTATAGGGTTTCCAAGAGTGGCTAGCAGTCCAGTGCTTAACCTACAGCACAACAGGGCCCAACTACTAAATGGTTAAATTATTTAACCAAAATATAAAAAAAAGTATTGAAACAATATATTACTATGGCTTAATATTGGGGTCCTGGTGTGGCGCTGTGGGCTAATGTGTCAGACTGCAAAGTCATTTGAACTGTAAGGTCGGTAGTTCAAGCTCACCAGTTGCTCCTTGGAAACCCTATACAGGGTTGCTCTGGGTCAGAATCAACTTAGCGGCACTTCACAACAACAACAACATGCCTTAATATCAAAGGAGGCAGCGCTTACTTGGGTACTATTATCCAGCGGCTAGGGCTGGAAGACAAATATGGTGGCCACTAGACACAGGGGACTACTCAAATTTAAACTAAAATAAACTTTAAAATTCAGTTCTTCAGTTGTACTAGCCACAGTTCAAAACAGCCATATACCATAGTGGAGAGTACAAATAGAGAAGGTTTCTTTCGTACTTAGGTCTACAGAACTCGAATGCCTCCTATCTGATTTACATGAAAAACGGCTACAAGTGCTGACATTAAGAAAACAAATCTTGATTGATAAGGTCTTTCTGTTCTTTCTCTGTTCAACACACATAAATACATAATGTTGTAAATGTAAGTCTTTAACACACTTTTAAAGTAACAAGGGAGTCCTGGTATGGCACTGCAGGTTAATGTGTTGGACTGCAAGGTCAGTTTGAACAGCAATGTCAAAGGTTCAAGCTCACCAGCCACTCCTTGTAAATCCTACACAGGGTCACTATGAGTAGAACTGACTCAACAGAATTTAACAACAAAGTACTGAAGTTTAATATAAATAATTCAAGGAGGAACTAAACCTCACCAGTTTTTATAATGAGTCCTGGTGTGACACTGTAGAATAATCAGTCAAAAGGTCGGTGGTTCAAACCTACCAGCTGCTCCTTCGAAACCCTATACCATGTCACTATGAGCCGGAAATGACTCAATGGTACTTGACAATAACAGTTTTTACAATCAGCCCTAAAATCCATTAACTAGATTCACAGAATTTTAAAAAGCCTCTCTACATAATTCTCCACCTATCAAGGAAGGTCTCAAGAGGTAACATATATGTTACTTTTTTGGGCTATGCTACTAAAGGGGCCAAAAAATGAAGCTTAGTTGGAATTCCTCAGCAAGTAAGAATAGCTCTGGTGTGGCGTTGTAGGATAAGCGTAGGACTGCAAGGTTGATTTGAACCACAAGTTCGGCGGTTCAAACACAAGTCACTCCTCGGACACCCTATAAATAGGCACTGACTGGTGGGCACTTAATAAGAATGGTAATGCAATTGTTCACCACGGTTTGGCTTCCCTGAGACAGTGCTCTCTGGAGGACACAGGAGGGCACAATGACCTCTTGGTTTCCAGCTCACTGACCCAGGGTGAGGTGCCCAGGCAGATAGGGGCAAAGCCTGGAGTGGGGCAAGGAGCAGAGGGCATGGGCAGGCTTCAGTAATGCTGCCCCGCCCCCAGGTCTGAGAGATCTCGTTTTGTGGCTGACCTAGTCTTCACGAAGCTTGGAGGGTCGAGGATGCAGCTGCATTGGTGGCAGACTTTTATCCCGTGTGTGGGAAATGGATCGAGACGGACACAGTGATCCTGAGGCGTGCTGTGCCGTGATTTGAAGATCTTCATCACACCAGCTGTGTCATCAAGGAACGAACAGTGGCTCAGCTAAAGGTCACCATGAAACACAAGGTATATGAAGACTCTGGCAAGCCCCTTTCAGTTGAGTCTGGTGTTTGTCACCCCCTTCTGCAGACCCTTCACCTAGTAGTTCCGTTGTCCCTGATGCCGGGGGCCCACCATAAAGGAAGAAAGCTGATGTGACTCTCAGTACTCCGAACAGCTCCAATGCCAACAGGGACCTTGTTGTTGTTAAGTGTTTCTGACTCATAGCGGCCATGTGTAGGGTTTCTGAGGAGTTTGGCAAGCTTGAATCTCCGACTTTGTGGTTCAAATGGACTTTGCAGTTAACCCACAGTGCCACACCAGGATTCCAACAGTGACCTATTAAAAGGTTAGGGCAAACTCCTCCAGACCACAAACTCACCTTCCACCAAGCCTGACTCTGGATTCTGGCTTTCTCATGACCTCTGCTCATCCTCCTCTACTCTTTCCCTGAGCCTTTACCTCTGACCCCTCCCACCGTTCACTATGGACCTTTAGATCCTTTGAGACTCCTACCAAAGCTTGCACAAAAGGTCAAAAGACTTCTGGGGCTGGAAAGGTCCACCTTGCTGATCCCATTTAAGCATAGGCCCAACCCCCTTGACCTCCACTTGATAGACACACTTTTTTTTCCAGTTCAGATATGCCCAGATTTATTGCAAACACAGCATGTTTAAACATGTCTTTCTGATCAGTGGATGACTACAGAGAATTCTCTCAGTCATACTTTTCTTAGTCTGCCAGTGTGCCTTCTAAAATAAGGATACTTTTTATGTCATGGGGAAAAAAATAATTTTGAAGTAAGGGTTAATATAAATTTTTTTTTTAAAGTCAAGTCGACCATTTTCCAAAATCACTGAGGTTTTGCAACAAGTCAATGGAAATATCCCAAATAAAGTAACAGCTTTTAGACAGACAAAGTATTTTTAGTAAGGTCAAAAAGATCTCAAAAATAAGCATATAGAGGGAAGACTGTCAGCCTCAACAAGTTGCTGAAGTCCATAAACCAGTGGAAGAAAGTCATAGAATTACTATTGATGCAACAGCTACTGAAGTTGGGATCTCACATTGTTCAGCATTTTTTATTTTAAGCAGACACCCTGACCTCAACAAGCTTTTGGCTTGGTGGATACTAAAGCATTAAAAGAAGAGCTACCTCAAATTGCTGATCTTTTCATCTGTCATTTTTTTTTTATGTTTTATTGTGAATTATATGATAGTTTACATGAGAGAACTTTAGTTCTATATTCCTTCCATCGTATATCATCTCACTGCCATGGTTCCAATCCCCTCCCTGCATCATTTTCCGACCAAAGGGGATATCCTAGAAACCCGTCCTCTACACTTCCTCCCCTCACCCCCCCAGTCTTCGGCCCACAGTCCCTCTGGCTCTCTGGATCCAAAGTCCCCAGCTGCTTCATCCCTCCATGTCATCGTCTCTGTCTCCATTCAGGCTTCTCTGGGTAGGGTCCTGCTCTCGGCTCTTCTCTGTTGGTGGTCCCAGAGACCCGCTCCTAGACTGGAGAGATAATTACTCCCTTCCTTGCTATACAACGTCTACCTTTGCATTTCCAACCCTCATAATCCGTCCTGATAACCATTATACACTACAGTATCGTGAGTAACCCATCTGTATTTCATCAGCTCCACCTAGACAGATTGGATAGTACTCACTGGAGATTCTGCCTTCCTCCATGCCCCCTAGCTCTAGGTTCCCTCTTGAAAGCTAGTCACTTCTTGCCTTTATAGTCCCTTCCTCCCCATTTGGGTATCCAATGTCCAAGTTGCCCCTCTCTGTCTACTCTGTGTGTGGAGGGGGTGGGAGTGTTTCTTGCTGTAAGGATTTTGTTGCCTCTTTTGAGTCACTGCATTCATAGGTATATAGGTCAAGTTCATCAGATTGAATCAGCTCGATCGTCTTTCTTCTCCTGGTTGAGCTCTGATCATCCAGTCATCCAGTCCATGTCACGTGGGTACCATCTGCAAGTGTGGCTGTTCTTGTGCACATGCCCTCTCCTCCCATCAGCCGGCAGCCCCATTCTCCACTTGAGTCCTCTGTGGCCATGTCACTGACTCTGGGCCTAGGAGTCCTCAGGTCGCCTCACACTGCTTGCCTCCCAGGTACCCAACCAGGTCCACAGAAGCCCTCTGAATATTGTGAGGCTTAGCTCGCCGCTTCATTGCTGCCTTTACCTCACTTCTCCCCATCGGTGATGCGTGTGGTCACCAATCCGAGCGTGCATTTCCACCGAGTCTCAGTCTTGGATGGGGTCCTGCGTTGGTAGGACCCGACTAACTGCCTCAATGTCTCCTAGGGAAGCGACCCATTTGTTCCTGTAGTAATAGTCCGTCTGCCTCCGTTGTATCATATATTTCCTGTAGGTCTTTCATTCGAGACGTATCTTTTGTTCTTCTCGCTGCTCCAGGCTGGTCAGCTCGTCCTTTCAAGTGGAGATTTCTCATCTCTGGTGATCTGGATGTGGTTCTGGTTTCTACCTATAGTTTTATGTATTGCAAAGGCTCCATATGAAGCCTCGTTCACTGGTTACGCTGTAGCCCCATTTTAGGTATTCCAATCAGTTAAGGGCAGAAGATGGACTTACAAGCTTTCTAGTGTGATATTTGATTATTCCTTTCTCTCCCCCTCCAGTGTCTACTCTATATCATAATGCAAGGAAAACCGAGATTCAAAAAACAGCCAAGCATCCTAACACGATTTCCCGCCCATTCCAACCATGCTTCAATCCCTGTATCTCAGAGCCCTGGAGTTCCAAGGCTATGCATATATCGTCCTTTATCTCTGTCCCATTTGGCCCATTCAAACATGCCCAATTGTTCTCCCATCTGCCATGTTTCTCCACTTCCCTCTCCCTCCCTGTATATTGCCCCTCTCCCCAGCACCCAAGCTCTCCTGTGTCCAATCCCCACCCTGTTTGTTTGTTTTTTAAGTAAGTTTTTAATGTGAATTGAGTGATAAGTTTACAAGGGAGAACATCAGCTTTGTATTCATCCTATTGTATTTCATTTCATTGCAATGATTACAATCCCCTCCATGCATCATCATTCAACAGCATTTGCTTCCATTCCCTCTGTTTTTTTTGGATGTACACTGAAGCACTCAGGAATATATAAGCATTCAAACAGCCAAAGGGTGTACCCTGCAAGCCAGCCCTCCGGCCATGAGCACACAGACCCTATCCCTCCCTGAGTCCAGACTCCCCAGCCACTCCATCTCTCCACGTCATCGTCTCTGTCTCCATCTCTGGATAGGGTCCCGCACTCCACTCTTCTCCCTTGATGGTCCCAGGGTCCTCCGCTCCTGGACTGTAAGATCAACCACTCCCCTGCTTTTGTTACAAAACATCTACCTTTACATTTATAACACTCACAATCAGGATGGATACATTTCTATAGAGAAAACCATAAAGATTTCTCTCTCTCAAAAAAAAAGGTTAACACAAAGCCATCTATTTATACTTCCACCTAAACCATTCAATTTTCTTCTGTTCCCTAAAAGACAGTTATCTCCTCATAACTGTTATAAGTCATAAAAGAGCACTGTTGTGAAGTGCCGCTGAGTTGGTTCCAACTCATAGCAACCCTGTCTAGGGTTTCTGAGGAGCCCATGGTAAGCTTGAACCATCCACCTTGCTGCTCAAACAGACCTTTCGGTCCAGTGTATTATCCTTCAGTGCCACACCAGGAACACATCTAAATGAGATACTGCTTGTTGTTGTTGTTATGTGCTGTGGAGTTGGTTCCGACTCATAGCGACCCTGTACAGGGTTTCTGGGGCTGTAAATCTTTACGGGAGCAGAAAGCCTCATCTTTCTCCCGTGGAACAGCTGGTAGTTTCGAGGTTAGCAGCCCAATTCGTAACCACTACACTACCAGAACTTGTTGTTGTTGTGTAGTGCCGTCGAGTCGGTTTTGACTCATCGTGACTCTGTACAGGGTTTCCGAGGAGCAGCTGGTGAACTTGAACTGCCGACCTTACAGTTCAAACGGCTTTGCAGTCTGGCGCCTGAACCCACAGCCTCACAGCAGAGCTTAGGGAAATTTAAATTAAACCCTTGATCACTACTTGTACAGAGAACAGCTGAAATGCAGTGAAAGAAGACAGTGTAGAACAGGGAAGGATACATAGCTAATATATCACAATACTTGATACTTGAAAGCTATCTAACTGGCCATGGGAATAAAGTTTAGAATTTGAGTGCTACAACAAGGCAAACTCGACAAACCTCTATATAAAGTTGGATTATCAAAGGGACATTTAGGGACTACAGGTCTATGAAAAACTAAGACATCGTTGGCATGTTGCCTTAAAATACAACAATGTGTGTACTTTTTGATCTACATTAATACTTATGATAACCCTCTCTGATATTAGCATTTGTTCAACAAACTAAGGACATTTTCTTCATTTCTATTTTCATCAATGGCGATAGCTATCCACAGAAATTTTGAACTCCCTGCTATTAATAAGTTGCTTTTGTTGTTAAATGCCACTGAATTATAGCAACTCTGTTTAGGGTTTCCAAGGAGCAGCTGGTGAGTTTGAACTGCCATCTTGCAGTTCAAATTGACCTAGCGGTCCAGTGCTTATCCTACAGTACCATACCAGAACTCCGAGTTACTATAAAGTACTTTACAAACAGACTGTTCTAGTTCTAGGAGTTAGATAAACTTACTTGTTTTCTCGATTAACTGTTGGCGTTACTGTTGGCTTCCTCTTTTCTTCCTCTTGAATAGCCTGGGTTATATCTGGGGAGGAGTAGGAGCGCTTCAGTTTGGAAGGTTCCCTATCCCGCTCAGCAGGACTCTGTGGCTTGGCTTTATGAGTTGGAGGGGTAGAAGGGGGCGCAGATGAAGGAGCCATTTCCGGAGGATACATATGAACAGTGTTGGTGGGTAAATGATAATAACGAAAGGTTCCAGTAATTGGGTCAAGAAACTTACATGGAAAAGGAAACAAACAAAAAAAAGTAATCATTACGTAACCACAGAAACTACTCATTATTATTCCACTGCTAAATTTACATTTGGATTAAGATAATCTGAATAAAATGGCAATAATTACTTATATCACTAAACTTCAAAAAAATTTTATTTGTAAAGAGTTTATTACTTCTTAATGGCAACTGTCACAAATGCTCATATACCTTGGCCCAGCCTAAAGGTAATCCTGGTACAATCCTCCCCATTTCTTCACTTCGTGCTCTTGTCAAAGGTTCTCGTTGAGCCTAGTTAAAAAAAAACACACATCAGATTCTAACTTTTAATAATAATACACACACTAATTTACAAAGGAGTCAAATCATCTTACCTTGACATCCTTAGTTTTGAAAATATTCTACCTAGTAATCTTGTTCTCCTAAAATATCTTCTATATTTATCTTTCCACAAAATTTTATAAAGTGCTATGTGTAAGTATGGATCAATAGACTGAAACGCCAACTTCAATATAATTAGATAATACTTGTACCTGCATTGATTAAACTAGCATTAATGATAGAAGATGAAAAGGCCATATAAGAAGTCATCCAATTACTATCTTCATAGTTCTCATGTCTTAAAATTCTGCCAAACACAAATGTATAGTAAAGAGACTCTGTGAGCTGGAAAAAATTTCTGTCACAGTGAATGCAAATGGGACAATAGGATAACCACATGTTAAACAACGGTCTAAATGATCTTTTAGCATGTGGCTATAATTTAGTGCCACTCTATACATGGAACCCTGGTTTGGCGCTGTGGATTAATGCACCAGACTGCAAAGCTGTTTGAACTGCTCCCCGGAAACCATATACAGGGTCACGATGGGTCGGAATCGACTCGACAGCACTTAACAATAACAACTCTATACACAAAAATTAATGGATTACAGACCTATTTGTAAGAGTTAAAACAAAAACTGATGTAAGAAAACACAGGCATGTATCTTCAGGACTTCAGGTTAGGCAAAGAATTTCTTAGATACAATATCAAAAACATAATCCAAATAAGAAAAACTGATACATCAAACTGCAGCAAAACTTTTGTGTTTCAAAAGACACTATTAAGAAGATAAAAAGATGAGTCACATATGGGGAAAATATTTGCAAAACATATTTCTGAAAAATGAGCTGTTATCTGAAATATTATAACCCATGTAACTCAGTAATACAATAATCCAACTAAGAAATGAACAAGACTTAAATACACACATTTCACAAAAGAAGATTAAACATATGGCTCACAAACATATGAAAAAATGCTCAACATTATCAATCTTTGATGTTGTTAAGTATCGTGGAGTCGGTTCCGACTCATAGTGACCCTGCACAGGGTTTCCGAGGCTGCAAATCTTTAAGGGAGCAGAAAGCCTCATCTTTCTCCTGTGTAATACCTGGTGGTTTTGAACTGCTGAACTTGAGGTTAGCAGCCCGATTTGTAACCATTATGCTATCAATCTTTAGAGAAAAGCAAATTAAAACCACAATGACTAGAAATAACTACAACCTTTGTCATAAGACCAAAATAAATGGATGGTGCCCAGTTACCACTACTGAACATTTTGATTAAAGATTTTATAGAGGAATCAAGATCAAAAGGAGGAAATTACAGAACAGAGTTTCAACTTTCTACAGACACTGAGACTGGATGAACCTAACTTAAAACTATTGTCTGAGACAATCTTTAACCAAAAACATCCCCTGAAGTCATCTTAAAACCAAAAAATAGTTTGCTTAATTATTTAAAATTATATGCCATGAGCATTAAGCTCTTTTAAGAATGTCTATACAGGATCAAATTTGACAACTCCAACTAGAAGGCTTCGGTAGTGAGTTCATGTTACTGGGGAGGAACAACTCAGACCAGGAGGGTGAGAATGGTTGGACAACTTGTTCACTGACTTGTCCACGTGGAAGCTGTTGGAGGGATCTGTGTTCTGCTGTGCATGTTCTCATCAGCAATAACAAAATTCAAAAACAAACAACTCCACTTTACACAGCTAGAGTGGTTACAATTAAAAAAAAAAGACAGCAAATGTTATTGAAAATGTTGAGAAATAGGAACCCTCACACACTGCTGTTGAGAATTAAAAATGAACATAGTGGTTACAAATCGGGCTGCTAACTTCAAGGTCAGCAGTTTGAAACTACCAGCTGTTCTACGGGAAAAAGATGAGGTTTTCTGTTCCCGTAAAGATTTACAGCCTCGGAAACCCTGTACAGGGTCACTATGAGTCGGAACCGACTCAACAGTACTTAACAACAACAAGGTATACTATGGAAAACATCTGACAGTTTAAAAGAAAAAGATGACAATTTCTTTCTTCCCCCAAATCAAAATTCCACATTTTTGTATCTACCAAGAAGAAATGAAACTATTTTTTTACACAAAGATTTATAAGTGAATGCTCATAGGTACATTATTAATAATAGCCCAAAGTAGAAATAATCTAATATCCATGAAATGATAAATGGATAAATAAAATGTTGTATTATCCATACAATGGAATACTACTCAGTAATACAAAGGAATGAATTACTAATACATGCTGGAACATGGATGAATCCCCTAAACATTATTGTTCAGTAAAAGATACCAGACACAAAGACCATGTGTTGTATAATTCCATTTGTAAAAATGACCAGAAAAGGAAGTTCATGGTGGCTTGGGGCTGGGAGTAACTACAATAGAGTACAGGAATCTTTTTAGTGTGATTATGGTAATGGTTTCACAACTATGTAAACTACTTAAGATCAATGGATTATATAATAACAATGAGCAGAATTTATGATGTGTAAATTGTACCTCAACAAAGATCTTAAATAAAAACAAAGGCAATGTTGCCTTATAAAAGGTCTAAAGATTTTTTCCATTTTATAAAATAGACTATTTTGTCAAACTTTAGGAAGACAAACTTTAGCATGTCAATGGGTTAACCATGTAAAAACAAACCAAAAACAGCTACTAAAGATGGCAAAGGTTCCCTTCAGAGAGCACATCTCCGATGAAGGAAGACAGTACAGTTAAGATAGTCACATGGTTATTAATCCAGGTGTTCACCCCACTCCCTTCCCCACCACAATGAACTACTTACTTTATTTCTTTCGGTATCCTCTGTATTTTCACCAAAAGTTCCTGTTTTTAGAATTCCACCTTGTTGTCCTTTAATTTTAACAGTCTGTAAAATTGTTAAAATTTTAGAAGTGAAAGAAAACTTTAACTTTTCCTAATATAAACCTATCACTACCTAATACAACCAGATCCATTACACTGAAAAAGCAAAAGGAGAAAGCAAATTAGGACTCTAAAAATTTTATTCAATTCTGCTGTCAAATTCAAAATATACTTACTTCCAATTAAAGGTTTTAAAGCACATTTGGAAATTCCTAACATTCTAAAGATGAAGAATTAAGAAACCAATGAATCAAGAGGGAGGTGGAAAGATGAAAATCAAAGTGGCTAGGCTGATTCACCATATATGGCCAAGTGCAAGATGCCGGCCATTTGTGTATAACTCATCATGGCCTCATCTGAACACTAGTCTTTTATTTAAGTCCCATGTGATTTGGGTTACCTGGAAAGGGGTCCTTCTCTAAAAAAAAGTTTAACACGAAATAAAGATATTATAGAATTCTGTAGAGCAATATTCAAAAGTAAAAATTCATTTTTTGTCTTCTCAGAACATAACTCAGGTATGATACAGGGGGCTTCAAAAAGTTTGTGGAAAATTCCCTTGTATAACAACAAAAAGTTCACTTAATTTTATATTTTACATAAAAATATTTTACTTCAAACATTATCATAGTAAAACTTTTCAAATTTCTAAATTTTAATAAAACTTTGCATCAATTACATGTTACTTTTAAAAGGAGTATGTCACAAATGCGATCTTAACTATTTTTCAGTCTGTTGTGTGTTAGGAAGTATCAATAACTACAGTGCGGTAATCTCAGTGCTACTTAGATCTATAAGGATATTTTGTGCCTACAGCAAATGACCTCAGAAATGTGAGTGCTGTAAGTTCTAGTGACTACCTACCTCAAATGTGGCAAGACAGAAAGGCTTTGGAACTTGTCGGTGCGATCTCAGCCAAATGACTTAATCTCTCAGTTTCTGTTTCATTTGAAAATTGAATACCTCATGGGGTTACCATTAGGAATAAATATGATAATAAAAGAAAACATACTTGGCATATAGTAGATATTCAATGAATAATATATATGAGTTACATCTATAAATTAAGTGCTCATTGGCAGTACATCTCACGTGAAAACCAGGCAATCTTAATGCAAGAGTTTCATGTCACTTATTTTGATTATTAGGTATTTTTACATAAGAGCCACATTTTGATAATAGTTTGAGATTGCCAGATAAGTGTTCCTGGTCAATTTTTGTAGTATGCCTGAACTGCTGTATGAAAAAGATGGAAACTGACATTCTGTAAAAGTGGCATTTGGCCTTCCACCAGAAGTCATTCTTACATCACCAAAGATTGCTATTTACATTTATATGTATTAGGAAGGGCTACACCGCAGCTATATCAAACTACTACTATAAAAAATGTATTTAGGGCTCAAAAGAAAGACATTGTTAACTGCATAATGATGCACATAACTGAAAAGTACGTTATTATTAGGTTAAAAATAACACAAAAATGTCACCCAAAATTATGTAAATCAATTATGAGTGTATCACAGCCTTCGGTACGGATTACATCACAATGTAAAGGAAAAAATCCACACTACTGTACCAATAAACAACATTCTTATCAATGGAGAAAAGATTGAAGTTGTCAAGGACTTGATTCTTCTTGGATCAACTATCAACACTCACGGAAGCAGCAGTCAAGAAATCAAACGACGTATTCCATTAGACAAATCTGCTGTACAAGACCTTTTTAAAGTGTTGAAGAGCAAAGATGAAAGCTTGAGGACTAAGGTGCGCCTGACCCAAGCCATGGTATTTTCAATAAACTCATCTGCATACGAAAGCTGGACCGTGAATAAGGAAGACCGTAGAAGAATTGATGCTTTTGAGTTATGGTGTTGGTGGAGAATATTGAAAGTGCCATGGGCTGCCAAAAGAACCAATAGATATGTGTTGGAAGAAGTGCAGCCAGAGTGCTCCTTGGAGGCCAACATGTTGGCTTAACTTCATCTCTCATACTTCAGACATTTTGTCAGGAGGGACCAGTCGCTGGAGAAGGGTATCATGTTCGGTTAAGGTGGAGGGTCAGAGAAAAAGAGGAAGACCCCCCAACGAGATGGACTGGCTAAGTGGCAGCATCAATGGACTCAAGCATGGCAACAGGAGTGAGGTTGGCCCAGGATCGAGCAGTGTGTTTCGGTCTGCTGTGCATAAGGTCACTATGAGTCGGTATCGACTCGATGGCACCTAACAACAACAACCAAGGGCAAATAAAAAAAAAAAACGAATGGGTTATTGCCAATATTATGTGAATTGAAACACAACAAAATGACATGGTGTCAGTGGTGGTGATGTGATGTGGAGTTGGTTCTGACCTATAGCGACCCTGTATAGGGTTCTGAGGCTGGAAATCTTTACGTGAACAGAAAGTCTTATCTTTCTCCTGTGGAACAGCTGGTAGTTTCGAACTGCTTACCTTGAAGTTAGCAGCCTGACTTGTAACCACTAAGCTACCAGAGCTCCTACAAAACGATATAGACATGAACTAAAACAAACCCAAAAAACCTTCAAAGATAAAAATTGGCTTTGGACATATTTTAAACAGATACAAACTCTATCATACAAATATTTGGGATTTAACTCTTCCATACTATGAGGAAGATTGTGGTTTGATGATCTAGGTCTTTTGATGATTATATCAGACACAAAAATAAAGAATGTAACTATATACCTCACTTATTACAATATGTTGTATGCCATATAGAGGATGTTGTATAACGTAGACACAAAAAATCAATAGTATTCCCATTCATTTCATAAATGTGTATTACTGGCTTCAAAGGAGGGTAAATGAGCAAATGTAGACAGATCAGTTCAAACCTATCAAGCTCTAGAAAATCACTCAAAATGTCTGCCCTATTTATGGAATGGCACTGGTGTTATTTTTTACACACATTTTGCTTAGTTGCCAAACTACTGTTTGTTACAACTCACCTTGCCTGAACTTGAATCTTCTGTCACAGATGCATGAGGCACATCTCCTGTTGATTTTTTCTCTGTTTCTGGGGTTGGACACCTGTTTCCTCTGTCTTCTACAGATTTCTTGGCTTCGGCAGTTTCATGTTCACTTCTACTTTGTCTTTTCACTCCTGATATTTCTTTGCCTTGCTTTCCTGAGGTTTCTTTGTCTTCTTTCTTGGTCTGTTCACTTTCTCTTTTTTCTAAGTCTTCTTTTGTTTTTTGCTCCTTCTCTGCGATTTCATTATCTTCAATTTCTTGGTTCTTTCTGGCTTTTTGTTCTTGTTCTTCCCTTCTCAGTTTCTCTTTCAGTTCTTGTTGCCTTTCCCGAAGTTCTTTTTCTTGTTTGCTTTTCTCCATTAGAAGAGCAGCTTCTGCATGAATACGAGCTTTTTCGTCATCTGTTAACGGGGCACTTGTTGGGGTGAAGACTGGCTTTGTGGAACGATCAGGAACAACTTTTCCATCCTGAGAAGACTGTTGCTCCGGGTCAGTGTTCTCAGATTTTATATTATGATCATCAGGTAATTTTATTGCTGGCTTTTTCGTACGATCAATCTACAGCAACATAAACAAAGCAAAACATATTTCTGTCAAAAATCAATAACCTCAGTTCTTGAAATTATGTTATCAGATTGTTGCTGTTGTTGTTAGGTGCCATGGAGTCAGTACCGACTCATAGCGACCTTATGCACAGCAGACTGAAACACTGCCTGGTCCTGGGCCAACCTCACTACTGTTGCCACGCTTGAGCCCACTGATACTGCCACTTGGCCAATCCATCTTGTTCGGGGTCTTCCTTTTTTTCTCTGACCCTCCACCTTACCAAACATGATATCCTTCTTCCAAGACTGGTTATCAGATTAGAACCATCATATTGTGGAGGCCAGACTGTCTAATTTGTAAATCACTCAATGTCAAGATTTCTCATAACGCAGAATTTGCAGGGGAATCCTGGTGTGGTGCTGCGGGGTAATGTGCTAGACTGCAAAGTTGGTTTGATCACAAGATTGGCAGTTCAAGCTCACCAGTCAGTCCTCGGAAATCTTATACAGGGTTGCTATGAGTCAGAACCAACTTGATGACACTTAACAACCACAACGACGACATTCTTTATTCGATACTTTCAATTCACCCTGATGTGCTCTACATATGAAAGAGTTAATACTATCTTCATTCTATAATATAAAACCTAAACCTGGTTGCACCTAGACTTATATTCTATTTCCACGTGTCCAACTGTTACTCAGCCTCTTCAGGTGTGAGCTGCACATGTACCACAAAGCCAATATGGTCAAAATACATGATTTCCCTCCACAAACACAGTGGCCTTCATTTGTTCTTATCTCATGGATGAAGTCACTATCGACATAGTTACTTAAACTAGAACCTCAGAGTTCTCTATAACATGTTTTTCCCCTACCTTTCTACTGTCAGATTACTTTCCTCTGGTATCTTTTTGTTTATCCACTCTACCACCAGCCATATCTATGCCAACATCTTCTCACCAGAACCACAGTGCAGCTTCCATCTGGTTTTCCATATCATCTTTCGCCTCCCTTCTAATCTACATATATCGCTACATTATAGCCAGAGTAATCATTTTATAACACATATCTGACTATGTTCCTCACTTATTTAAAACCCTACTCTTAAAAGCTATCTACTGTACTCAAGACATTAAGTCTAAAATCTTTATCATGGCCTATAAAAGGCCCTGTGTGGTCTCACTTCTACCTAGCTCTTCACTTTCCTCTATCTATGTAAGTCATACTTAACTTTTTAAAAAGAGTCCTCAAAGATGCGATCTACCTTCTCAATACCAGGCCTTTACATAAAACTGCTCACCTACTTAATACCCACCAGAACACCAGGTCTTGGCTTAAACGTTTCTCTCTCAGAAGAGAGATCCCTGAAGTCTCTGACTAAAACCAGCCAACTCCCCTCATATATGTTCTCATAATACCCTATTTGGTTCCCTTGTAGCACTTATTAGAATGCTGATGACTGACTTGTTTAAACTTTGTTTTCCTTCCTAGCATTTAAGTACCTGACATCATAAGGTCAACAAGTCTCTTGCTGAGGGAATGGATAAAATAACCCATTAATAACTTTCACAAGAAATGAGATACTAATTGGTGTCCTTCTAGTTGAGTAATAGTTACACTACCTCAATTGATGAGATCTAAATTAAATGTTTATTGCCTTGATTTAACAGCATACTAACTCTGTAGCACTGTGAGAGGTGGCCTGATGTTACTGAGAATACGGTTTACTGAAACAAGGAGAATTTAAAAGCTTATCTACCAGTAACAAACTACATGGTGTTCTTACAATATGAATCTTATATTTTCCTACTGGAAAACATAAAGTAGGAAAAGTCAATGTAACAAGGATCACTCCCTTGTCTTCAGTCCTTTGTGCCTCTTCATTAAAAAGAAAAAAAAAAAAGGAAATATTCTCTCTTCTAAATATTGAGAATGAAGAACCACCGTGGGAACAAATTTATCAATAAAAGGTGGAACAGGAAGCAAAAGAAATGCTATTTTACCCACATTTTAGTTGCTCAATTCATTTTTCTACAATCTCAAAAGCACAATTCTGATCACATCACTTTTAAGTTTAAAATTTTACACCTACAGATTAAAAATTAAATTTATCGCTCTTGACAACTCTTGATCATCTTTTCAATCTCATCTGTTATCACACTCTCCAACAGAGACCTGTGTGCAAGCACACCAAAACGACTTACTGTTCCTTGAGCATGCCCAACGCCTTTAGTCAAATACTTTCCTAACTTATCTCCTCCACTCTCAAATCCTACTCAACTATTAAAGCTCAACTAAAACTCAGCTAAAATACTACCTCTTCTATGAAGGCCAATCTCATCACCTCAACCAGAATTTCTTTCCTTGCTCTGTGCTCCAATGGCTATTATTGTTGTTGTTGTTAAGTGCTGTCGAGTCAGTTTCGACCCATAGCGACCCTGAACAGGGTTTCCGAGGCTGTACATCTTTACGGGAGCAGATCGCCTCATCTTTCTCCCGCAGAGCAGCTGGTAGTTTTGAACTGCTGACCTTCCAGTTCGCAGCCCGATTCGTAACCACTATGCTACCAGAGCTCCTTAATGGCTATTATAGTAGTTTGAAATTCTGTCTTAGGTTTTTGATTTTGTACCAGTCTCTCCTAAACATCAGACAGAATCTATACCTTACTCATATTAACCTTTCATGTAGAAGATCCTTAAAATATGCTTCACAAATTGTACTTATTTCAGAAAGTCAGGTTTGAACAGAAAATGATTATGGTTTTCTGCAGGGCAATGAATTACTTGCTATGACTCTTTAAGTCATAATTTTTGTAACTTTCCTACCAAATGACTGGGTGGGACCATGTAAATATGGAGTATGTGACACTAGTGAGGGGATTGGTTATTTGACATCCTGTTCCACCACTTGTACTGTGGTGCCTGTGTACTGTGATGCTGGTAGGTATGCCATCAGTATTTTAAATAAAAGCATATCACTATAATTTGGACAGGTTCAGCTGAGTTTACAAACTAAAACAGTCTAGGAAGTAGGAGAGGCGAACTAGTTCTGAATGTTTAGTCACTGAAAACCTTATGGAAACCAACGGAACACTGTCAGATTACACCAGAAGAGTGAATACTGAAATACTGTGAACAGCACCAGCATATTGTCAGATACAGTGTTGGAAGAAGAGCATCGTACGACTAGGAAAGAGCTGCCTCCTCAAAGTAGAGTTGACTGTGATGATGGGCATGGAATATTCTTCACCAACACCATAATTCAAAGGCATCAATAATTCTTTAGTCTTCTTTATTCACCGTCCAGCTTTTACACGTATCTAAGGCAACTGAAAATACTATGGCTTGGTTCAGGCACACCTTAGTCCTTAAGTGTCAACTTCACTTATTGACATTTTTACGAGGTCTTTTGCAGATGTGTCCAATATATGCTGTCTGATTTCTTGGCTGATGTTTCCATCGGCATTTGTTGAAGATCCAAGCAAAATGAAATCCCTGACAACTTCACAATTTGGGAAAATACTATGGGTCAAACAGCAACACAAAACCTTGAAAGGGTTGCTCAGTTTCACTGTGATAACACAATGTTTTATCAGTACTGCCTGTAGGAAATGGTCTGCCAGCAGGTTGGAATTCTTTGAAGTATTGATTCTAAGCAATAAGACTCAATTGTAATAAAAAAAATCTTGACAGCAAAAAAGGCCCCAAAAGACAGATTTCTCTCACTGATACTTTTTATTCTAAGATATTAGAGGTTATATAAAACCTCATTTCTTTATCATACATTAATACAGTGCTAAAACAAAGGAGATAATAAAGTTAAAAGAAAATCAAGATCATACCTGTGGAACATTCTTTATAATAGGCACTGGTTGAATTGCAGGTGAACCATCAGATTTAGAAGTACCATTTGGTTCAACTGGAGTTGATGTATTAAGTGGTCCCACTCTCTCATCTTGATCATTTTTCAATTCTCTATTTTCATCTACTTGTAAAGGCCGTGGCAGCATTTGGGCAGTATGTTTAGAAGCAACTGGTTCTTCCAGTGATGGGTATGTAAAATTCACTAAAATCCCCCCCAAAATAATAATACATTTTAAGTAGCAAATCCAACAATCAATACTTACATATCTCATGCATGTTACATGTTGACAGTCAAACTTAAACTACATGAAATAACAATCACACAGTCTTAAAGAAAACATTAACTTCCAGGCTATGGATATTGTTTATTTTTAGTGCCCACAAATTGCTATCAAATAAGACAAATGCATGCATAACTAAGAAGGTTACTCTGAAAATATAAATAACTTATTTAAAGTCTGTTTTTCTGAATCAATTTTAAACAAAAATGTTCACATACATACATGAAATAGACACCTCTTCATTCTTGCCTCGTGGGGGTGGAGTGACTTTAGCATTTGTTGTGTACTGGGGATAGCAAAGGAGCCAGTTTTCATAGCCTCCCTCTAAAACCAAAGGCTCATTGCGCAGGATAGTTTTACTTTCCCACTATAAAATAAGAAAACAGTATTTTTAGTATGACAGCAGTCTCTCAACACCTAAATACACAGCAAATCTGAATCTTAAATTGCTTATATGAGAACAATTTTCTAAGTGATGAAAAATTGTATCACTGAATTCAAAATTTAGCATTAAAATACCTAGATGCACCCTAAGACTAAGGTCCTTGGTTACTCTTCAGGACTGGAACTGAACTCAGCCAATAAGGTAAGCCAAGGAGGTATGCAATCCTTCCAACAATCAACCATACAAGGTCCAAAGGGTAGCACTAGCCCAGGGATAAAACTAAGAAGATAGGAAAGGACAGGAAAGAAGGACAAATGGAAACAGGAAAGACAGGAAGGCAGTGAGAAGAGAAGAGTTACACTGTGGGGTCCTGAAACAAATGCGTATGAATTGTTGAACATAAAACCAGTAGTAGATTTTTAGTCAAATCACAGAAAGTTAAAACAACCAACCAAATTAGATGGATACATAAGGTTCTTAAAACCACGTAATTCATAGTCTTAGTAGAAAATTAATAATAAGCAAGTAAGTAATAAAAATTACCCCTAGCCTCTCACCAACCAGAGATAATCACGCTAGCATTCTGGCGTTTATTCTTGAAGATAGCAATCTATATAGATACAACTTTTACGTTATATTTTTACAAACCAATTAAACTTTGTGATGCTGCTTATCTCTTATTTGAACATGTTTTATTAATGAAAATTTATCATTTCTAATGATATTATATTCCATTTTGTATACACACACATCAAAATTCAATCATTTGAACACTGCCATGTTTTTTCCACATTTGATTGTACATAATACTAAAATAAACAAGGTAAATACTGATGATCCTTACATATGCATACTCAATTAATTCTCTGAGGGTAAATTCCTAGAACTGGAATTACTAAACCATTGCATACAAACCTTTTCTGACTTTTCATATTTACTGCCAAGTTTTAAAAGTTTTTTATTAAAAAATATTTGTACAGAGTAAATTCCTAGGAGCACTGCTGCTTTACAAAGTACCTACAATGAAAAGTTTGGAAGTGTTGTTGTTGAGTGCTATCGACTTGGTTCCTATACAGGGTCAATGTGAGTGGGAACTGACTTGACGACACTTAACAACAGCAACAATGACTTAGCACGTGGGTGTAGTGCTGTAGGATAAACACTGGACAGCTAACAGCAAAATCGGCAGTTCAAACCCAGCCGATCTCAGAAATCCTATACAGGGTTGAAATGAGTCACAACAACAACGACTTAACTAATCTCATCATATATGCAATTTTCTATGAAGTTGATTAATTGACATTGATTAATGTCACTGTCAGCACACCCTGAACTTTCATATACTTTATAGACTGAACTCTTGGAAATTGCCACTTCTGTTGGTTAAAAACCAAGATCCCATATTCTAAAGCACTGTGTTAAGCCTTTTAAGATAGAACGTAGCAACAATTGATAGTCTAACCAGCAGAAATGACTTTTATTCTAACCAGCATTCAGTGCTATACAACAACAAATTAATCTCATCATCCATACATTTTTCTATAGAGTTGCTTGCCATTTTCTTGGTGAAGAGTGAATCTCATCTGAATATTTTGGAAAACAGACTTCATCATGTATGTTATAAAAATTCATAATACTGTTACTAATTTAGCAAATTACACTATTATCTCTTTGTTAACTTGATCACTGAAAATGCCATTTTAGTATTCAATTGATTTGTATTTATCTGAACTAGTAGAGCTGACCATTTTTGTATTTACTGTTTCTTGCATTTCCTTTTCTGTTGATGTCAATGTCCACTACTTATTTTACTATTTTATCTTCAGTATTCTTCTTCTTTATAAAAAATCTTCAGATTATAGATGTCCTAAATTACTGCCATATTTGTTATAAATATTTTTCTGTTTTCTTTTACTCTTATGATTTTTTTGAACCTAGGTTTTTATTTTATGAAGTCTTATCTATGCCTCTTTTTTTCTTAATAAAAAGACAAAGGAAGAAGTCACTAATTCTTAAATACAAAAAAAACTAAAAGGATATCTGATTTAGACAGTTTCTGAAAATTCTACTATCCTATTTTATATAGATGTTTTATTATTTTGTGACTCAAAACAAATCTTTTAAATCTGAATAAACAAACAAATAAAGAGACTACAACCAGAGCATGATGGGTCTTCTTGTCCTAAAGACGATCAACTACTCACCATTCCTTTCTCTCTTGTAGCAAGAAGGCTTACTTACAATTATTGTAAACTAACAAATAAGCTTGCTAACCTTGAAAAGTGCATCTTTCAGACTCCGTAGAGTTGTTCCAAGCTGTAAATCTTTTGCAGAGCTAAACCAGTCATGAAGTATCACATAATCCACATTCCCCCTCATCTTCCATGTGGCTTTAGAATCATCTGGGAGGTTTTCTTCAATCCGACTAGTAGTGTTTCTGAAATGTATTAACATTTATATTGTGGCAAAGTAGATGGAAGGTCCTAACTGCTAATGTAAAACACTGAAATTTTTCTACAGCCTAGTTTGCTACACCATAGCAAATTTTAAGATCACTTTACTATTGTAAAATACTAGACTATATTTTAGTAACATTTAGAAAAGAATCAATTCTGATCCTTTACAATAAAGGGCCAAAGCTGAAAACAGAGGAAGTCATCTGAATACCTCTTTCAACCAACTCTAAACAATTGGGAATCACCTGGGTAGCATTGTGGCGCTGTAAGATAAGCACTACTGCGAACCACAAGGTTGGCAGTTCAAACCTACCGGCTGCTTCTTGGAAATCCTATACAGGGTCTCTATGAGTCAGAGCTGACTTGATGGCACTTCACCATCACCACTATACCTATAATTAAAATAGTTAATAAAACACCAAATATTTACTAACAGACAGCACTTACTATGTGCCAAGAACTGTTTGAAATGCTTTACAAGCATTTTACAAGAATCTTCACAACAATCCTGTTAAGTGTTAGGTTATCCCCATTTTAGAGATGGGAAACTGAGGCACAATGAGGTTAAGTAACTTGCCAAAGCTTACACTTGGTAAATAAAGCCAGATTTCTAACTTAAGTAATTTGACTCATATCCATGCTCTTAGCTGCTTACTATGCTGCTTATTATACCATCAACTGTATTAAGTAAGAGTAACTCTCTATTAAAGCATGTCATTCATTTTCTTTTACTTAGATAAAAACTAAAGTCATTACATGGCCTATAAACCCCTATAAAATCTGCCATCCCACTCCTCATCCTTTTAACCTTAATGTTCTTCTCATCAACTATTCACCTCCTACTAACTCACCTTACTCCAGCCACTGGCTTCCTTGTTAAGTCCTGAGTCTTTCTGCCCAAGGCCTCTGTCTGCATGGGCCTTGCTGGCCGCTCTGACTGGAACCCTATTCCTCCAGATTTCTGTACCACTCATTCCCTTACCTCAAGACTTACTCAACTAATAACTTCTCTGTCAAGCCTTCCACCACAATATGTATACTTGTCACTCTTATCTCCATAGCATTTATCAATACTAGTCATACTATACATGAAAGACTTTTATTGTCTGTCTTATCATCCCCACTAAAATATAAGCTCTAGGAAGGTACAGACTTTTGTTTGTGCAATGGGTAAGCCCAACACTTAGAACCATTCTTAACTCATAGTAAGTGCTCAATAAATATTTACTTACTGATTAACTACATGAATAATACAGATTCACTCCCTAGATAAAATCCTTAACACTTACTATGTTGTTGTTATGTGCCGTGGAGTCAGTTCCGACTCATAGCGACCCTACACAGGGTTTCCAAGGCTGTAAATCTTTACGGGAGCAGACCGCCTCAGCTTTCTCCCAGGGAACCGCTGGTAGTGTCGAACTGCTGACCTTGCGGCTCACAGCCCGATTCATAACCACTACGCTACCAGAGCTCCTTACTATATAGTAGGCATTTCAATATTTAATTGATGATACTGAAAAACTAGGCAAGATTAGTGAAACTTGTGTCCACAAGTAAAGCTAAACGGTTTAGACCACTCCTACAGTAAAAAAAAAAAAAAAAAAAAATTCACTCCCTATAATAATGTTGATTACTGCATCCTCTAGGAAGCTAAAACAAAATACTGCTTCACAGTATTCTGTCCTGATGCATAATGAGAGAGAAATCAGGATACTCGGTCAGCAAAAAATGTGAAAGCATGAAATGTGATATTCCTAAGGGCTATTCCTCACTCTTATGATTTATCTAACTAAGACTGTTCTCAGGATAAGTAGATACATAAAACATTTTGGGAAACAAGAATATCAAGCGGTGTTTTTCACCTTCAGTATTTCATGTATCATTTGTTCTCTGCTTTACCTGGCCTATTACTTACAATACTTTTCACTCATGATGTAACTTATCCTAATAAAAGATCCTTTATTTAAATAACTTTATTAAAAAATGAAACTAGCTCCATGTACATAGAAAAACAGCATCATATGCAAGAAATAAAAGGTAATCCTAAAAAGTAAAACAGATAAGTATATTATGTTTTAGTCACACAGTGGAATACCATATAGCCATGAGAATAAACAAACTTCAGACTACACAAAGCAATATTGATGATTCACATATACAAGGTTGAGTAAAAATAAAACAAAAGTCAGATATAAAAGATTACATATTGTGTGACTCCACGCATATAAAGTACAAAAACAGACATAAACCAATTTATTCTGTAATAAGTTGGGGTTCTGGAACAAAGGTCATGCTCTATTTCTTGGTCTCAACGATAGTTGAAACGGCTGTATTGAGTTTACAAACATCATTGGGCTAAATACTTATGAGTAAATGTATCTGTATTTTGTTGCTGTTGTTAAGTGCTGTCAAGTCATTTCCAACTCATAGCAACCCTGCATAGGGTTCTGAGCAGCAGTTGGTGTGTTTGAACTGCTGACCCTGTGGTTCAAAGTCCAGTGCTGATCCTACAACTCCACACTAGAAGACCTATATGTATGTATAGTGTTGCTGTCCTTAAGTGCTGTCGAGTCAGTTCTGACTCACAGCTACCCTGGATAGGGTTTCCAAGGAGTGGCTGTTGAGCCTGAACAACTGACCTTGCAGTTTAGACCAACCTTGCAGTATAGCACATTAATCTGCTGCACCACACCATTAATTCATGGTCTTAAAACAAAACAAACCTAGACAATGAAAAAACATAAGTTTCAGCTAAATGTAGATACTGCTCTCTATAGAAAGTTCAGAGGTCTACTCTATTTAAAAAAGGAGATTAACAAATATTAAAAACAGTAGTAGCATTCAAATTGAAATTCATGTTAACCAATTAAAAAGGACTGAAACAGAAATTAAAAGGGAGTGATTTTCTTGGTATGAAATTAATTGTTCTTTAATGTTTCACCTAAAAGTCATTTTGACTTCCAAAGCTGTCCAATCTCTTACTTTGGAAAACAATGGCTTAAACTCAATAAAGACCACAGTTTTCACAAGTATAAATTATACTATCTTTAAGACTTACTTTGTCTTTTCAAATAAACGTTGAGAACATAATTGTATTTACATCTCTTTTTTTAAAAATAGCAAATTTACAAAGTACTCAATTGGTCAAGTGAACATTTGCCAAGCATCTGCAATGTGTCAAGAACTATGCAAGTTTTATTACCTAATTTAAATCAAAATGTATGCACATATGTATATATATTTAATGTTATTTAAGTTAGCTCTAGACTGTACCATAGATTTTAATGAATCCAATCCTATACACTAAGGCCCACAGAGACTATATGATAAATATATATGAGAGCCCTTGACTAGTGAAAACAACCCTGGAGTCTGGAGCTTTAGCCCTGTCACTATGTTATAATGATTCTTTATGTACAATTTACTCATGCAAGTATCTTTAAATCATTTTATAGGTTAGAAGCCTTCTTACCAAAAAAGAATACACACACACACACACGTGTGTAACTATATATATATGCAAACCCTTAGTAGTACCAGGTACTATATTATATGTGAGAGAATGTATATATGTTCTCATTTAAACCTCCCAAACTTCTATGAGATAGGTATGATCACTGATTTACAGATCGAAAATGGACTTAGAGGGGTTAGGTTAGCTAGAAGCAACATAGCTAACAAGTGACAGCTATGATATGGTGTGGCGCCCTAGGATAAGGTCAGTTTAAACTGCAAGATTGGTGGTTCAAACTCACCAGTTGCTCCTCTGAAACCCTGTACACACACAGTAACTATAAGTCAGAACCAACTTGATGGCACATACCAACAACATGATCTGAATACAATCTGTTGTCAAAGCTTGTACTTTCTTAATCACTTTGCTAAACTGCTTTTTCTTCACTAAAAAATTATTTGTATACTCTTTTTTACTGAACAGTTACTAGAATAGTGTACATCCTTCAATGGGGTTGTAATGCATGCCATTAAAGAGAAAAGACAAGAAAAGTTAGCAGGAAAAGACAAGGCTACCTTATGACACACAGCCTGGTACTAAGTAGTGATGTTCACTGCTATCCAGTTCACTACTGTATTTAACCACATAACAACTCACCCTGGAACGATAGCTTCTTCAGGAACACTGAGAGAATGTAAAATACGGGAATCCTGGTAATCCTGCCTTCTTCGAGCATCCATCACAATCAAGCTGATGCTTTTGTCCATCATCATTGTGTACAGTTCCTTTGCTGTGATAGTCCCTGACAATTGAGAGCACAGTGTAAATGTGACCAGAAACACTCAATTCTGTGTTCTAGCCTATGACTAAACACAGGGCAAACCTAACTTTTTCTAGAATAGCTAAATGTACCAGGTGCCATATACTTGTAGCCCATCACACCATGTGATGGTGGTGTGCCACCGAGTCAGTGTCCACTCACAGCTAACCTATGTAGGCTTTCCAAGGCTGTACATTCTTATAGGAGCAAGAAAGCCTCATTTTCCTTCCATGGAGCAGCTGGATCCAAACTGCTAATCTTGTGGTTAGCAGCCCAGTTGTTAATCTACTACCAGCACGCCTTATCATACTATGTAGTAGTTTTTAAACCAATATTAAATAAATGTAATTTAACTTTATGTTTAGAAATTTATCAAGAAACCAGTTCAAAGTTCCTGTTTATAAAGGCTCAAGTCTAATTGCTGTATAGATTACAACTACATTTGTTGTGAAGCTGTTACTTATGTAGAATAAAGGAAATTAAGTTTGCATCTTATAAAATACTCTTTTACAATTGTAAAAATATTCATCCTATTTAAAAAAAAATAAGCTCTCAACCAGAAAAAGCATTGAGTATTCAAAAATTATCTAAAGTTAGTAAATTCTTTCAAAAAAAAAACATACAAAAAGCTTCTGATGGAGTCCTTAAGGGTACAATGGGAAACTCCACTGCAATCAACAACCTGGCATTTGCTGGTTTCTGAGAGCAGGACTGCATGTGAGTGAGATCACTGAGTGGCAGGCAAACCAACCAAAAGGAACCACCTGGGGGCCTAGGATTACTCCTGATGTAATCATCTATCATGGCCAATGGAAAGGCCTAGGAAGATGGTGGCTCACTGGAGCTTCTGGGCTGACAGAATAAGTGTTCTGCTCTCCAGAGGGTAATTATACCTGCGAACATGGAAGCTCTGAGTTACGACTCTTCCCAGATCTCGATCTCTGTGTTTGTTACTTTTTCCTTCTAGATTAAAAACAGCTCTTTCTTTGCAGTTTGTGAGTTTTTCCAAAGGAATACTGGACCTAAGAAACAGACTAACTTGGTCCTGGAAGAATGAGGATAAGAGAGAAGCCAGTGCCTGTTGACAAAGCCCTAGGTGAAGGGGAGAGAAATGGCTAAACAGGCAGCTGGACGACTCTAAAATGACCAGGGAAGGGAAGATGAGATTCTCCTGGACTGGCTCAAACTATAGATTTCCAAGTTTTCCTAGAGCAACAAGCTAAAAGCTTGTTATTTACATTCCACTTTAGAGCTTGGCCAACTTCTGCCATGTTTTTATTGGAACCGAGCCATGCTCATTTGTTTACAGACTGTCTCTGGCTGCTTTCCCATTACAACAGCAGAGGTGAATAGCTGTGACAAAGACCATAGGACCCCCACGCCTGCAATATTTACTATCCATTTGCCATGACGTTTAACTTCCAGCAAAAAAAAAGGAAAGACTACTTACTGTATCTTTTTATTTTTTACCATTAGCAAAACAGAAACTAAATGAAATTTATCAGATTTTAAGTTTGTTTATATAACAAATTGCTCTGGCAGTGAGCCAAGAAAAGAGTCACAGTGATGTCTATCTTAAAATGCCCACAGCGGTTAGTAACAACCCTACTTCTCTAGCTATCATGGTTATTTTGACAGCACAAGAGACTAAACAAATTAAGAATGAACCAGTGAGAAAGGGTAAGATACACAGGGCTAAAAACTAGTACTAAAACGAATTCGTAAGTTTTTAGGAAAAGCACCCTATTAGATTCACAGATCATGTTTTTAATGTTGTAGGCCAATATTTTAAATGGAGAATTTACTTTAGTGTTTCCATACAATTATGTTTTAAAGGTAAAGTGGAAAAAACTTAACAGGCAAAAACAATTGGCTATGTCTTGCTGATCAGGTCACATATTTGGGGTTAAAGTATTAATGTTACCTACTGATAACATCCAAATTATAGGTTTAGATTTTTGAGAGAAATAAAGAAGCCTCTTAAATGATTAAATCCACAACCTATAATCAAAAATAGTAATTCTTTAAAAAAAAAAAAAAAAAAGTAATACTTATACAACGTTCAAAGTGTTAAAAAGCAAAGATCTCATTACAGTAGAAATACAGTAGAGTAACTTGTTCAAGATCACACAGAAATTCAGAGGAGGAATCTACTCCTCAAAGTCCAAGCTCTTAACCCTTACACTAAACTGTATCTTGAGAAGAAAACACAGATAAACGATTACAAACCACTTAGGCTAAAATTATCCCCCATGATACATAAGCATAGAAGCTAACAATACATTTTCAATATAATTGTACAGGCTAGGAAAAATGATAATGCTTATATAGATATTAGATACAATACTAACAATCTTGTGTAAACTCTGAAGTTTAAGAAAGATCTCAATGATAAACCAAAAGAATTCCCTCTTTTTGCACATGCTTACCTCCCATTGAGGCCTCATTTTTTTCACTTATTTCACCATTGATCTATTTCGCAAGGGGAAAAAAAAATATTTTTAATATAAAAAACTTTAACAAAAATAAAAGTTCAACTTTGATTTTTAATTGACACAAAGAAGTCTAGGAAATGAAGTATGCAAAGTTACTGGTATTTTACAGAAATACACATGAAACTAAACTAAAACAACTAACTGCATATCAGAATCATATGACATTTCCTCAAACTTTTTTCAAAAGCTAAATATAACGTAAAAACACAAGCTGTTATAGAAATTTAATATTAGAAAGTAAATGAAATATTTCTTATGATAAAACAAAAATTTTACTTATTTTCTTCCGTGTCCTCTGTTATATAGTTAAATGAGCCGTACGCAATGATAAGTAATAACCTGAAGAATTCAAAGCTGTTGCTATCAAGTTGATTCTGACTCACAGCAACCGGACAGGACAGAGTGGAACGGCCTCATAGGCTTTCCTAGGCTACAGTCTTTATGGAAACACATGCACATCTTGCTTTGTGGAGCAGTGGGTGATTTCAAACTGCCAACCTTTAGGTTTGCAACTAAGCACTTAATTACAGTGCTATCAGGGCTGCTTGCAAAGTAGTAAGTGCTAAATAATTTACGTTTTCTAAGTAGGACAACACAGGACAATTCTGTAAGGTAATAACCCATTTTACAAATGAGAAAACCAAGGACCCAACTGAACTTATTGATAACTAAAAGAAGGAAAGAAATGTGTTTCCTAAAATAAGGAGCTCTGATAGTGTGGTAATGAGTCGGGCTGCTAACCTCTAGGTCACACAACCACCTCTATAAAATATCACGTATCCAGTATCATTTATGAAGCACTCCTGCCAAGAAAGAAAAATTGGCTTAACCTAATTAGACTGAATCTAATAAAGCTTTCACAGGTCCAACTTCCACCCTATAAGAGGCACAGAAGATAGAAGAGCAAACTAAATAACATGAATATAAAGCAATCAGACAAATCCACAAATGTGGATCATTTTACAAAACAACTGATCCAGTAACAAAATGTCAAATGCAAGAATGGGAGACAGAGACAGAGATTATTATTATCAAAAAGCTTGAACAGATATAACAAAACATTGTTAATTTTGATGAGCAATTGAAGGTCTGTGCCACAATCTGCCCCTGGCCATGTTTTAGCTGATGATATGGAGTGTTTCCGCCATCTCTTCCCACAGATATATTTAATTTGATTTCTGTGTATTCCATGTGGTAAAGTTCATGTGTATAGTGTAGTGACCTTTTATGTTGTTGAAAAAGATATTTGCCATGAGTAAGTCGTTGCTCATGCAAAATTCTATCATTCAATCTCCAGCATCATTCCTATCATCAAGGTCATAATTTTCAACTACTGATCCTTTCACTTTGTTTCCAACTTCGCATTCTAATCACCAGTAATTATCAATACATATTGATTGCATGTATGATCTAATTTCAGACTGAAGAAATTGGTAGAATTCTTCCATTTCATTAAAACTGGCATTAGTAGTTGGTGCATAAATATGAATAATAGTGGTATTAACTGGTTTTCCTTGTAGGCATACGGATATTACCCTATCACAGACAACAGTGTACTTAAAGACAAAACTTGAACTGTTCTTTATGATGATGAATGTGACACCAGTCCTCTCCAATTTGCCATTCCCAGCACAGTAAGCCATATAACTGCCATATTCAAAATGACCAACACCAGTCAATTTAATTTACTAATGTTTCTTAGGATATCACTCTTTCTGTGTTCCATTTCATTTTTGACAATTTCCAATTTTTCTAGATTCATACTAGGTATATTCCATGTTTTGATTATTAAAGGATGTTTACAGTCATTTCTTATCACATGAAAGTAAAATTTTGCTAAAGATAATTCAAAAATGGCTATAGCAGGGAACTACCTGAAGTTCAAGTCAGGTTCAAGCAGGGATATCACTGCTGACATCAATCAGGTGGATCTTGGCTGACAGCAGAGAGTACCAGAAAGATGTTTAGCTGTGCTTATTAACTATGCAAAGGCTTTTGACTATGTGGGTCATGACAAGCTATGGACAACATTGTGGAAAATGAATATACTAGAAGAGCTAATTGTGCTCATGAGGAACCTGTACATAAACCAAGAAACAGTCATTTGAAAAGAATAAGAGGACACTGAATGGTTTAGACCAGGAAAGGTGTGCACCAGCGTTGTATTCTTTCACCATACTTATTCAATCTGAATGGTAAGCAAATAATCCAAGAAGCTGGATTATATGAAGAAGAACATGGCATCAGGATTGGAGAAAGACTTATTAACAATCTGTGATTTGCAGATGATACAACTTTGCTTGCTGAAATCGAAGCGGACTTAAAATACTTGCTGATGAAGATCACAGCCTTTGGTATGGGTTACATCACAATGTAAGGAGCCCTGGTAGCGTAGTGGTTACATATCAGGCTGCGAACTGCAAGGTCAGCAGTTCGAAAGTACCAGCTGTTCCGCGAGAGAAAGATGAGGCTTTCTGCTCCCATAAAGATTTACAGCCTCGGAAACCCAGTACAGGGTCGCTATGAGTCAGAACCGACTCCACGGCACATAACCACCAACAACCATCACAATGTAAAGCAAACAAAAATCCTCACCACTGGATCAATAAATAACATCATGATAAATTGAGAAAAGACTGAAGTTGTCAAAGACAACACTCATGGAAGCAGCAGTCAAGAAATCAAACATTTTGCATTAGTAGATTAACCAATCTACTGCCCCCAAACCTTTAAAGTCCTCAAGAGCAAAGATACCAATTTGAGAACTAAGGTGTGCTTAACCCAAGTCATGGTACTTTCAAAAGCCTCATATGCATATTAAAATTGTATAATGAATAAGGAAGACTATGGAATAATTGATGTCTTTGGGTTAAGGTGTTGGAGAAGAATATTGAAAGTACCATAAGATTGCCAGAGAAGTACAACCACAATGCTCCTTGGAAGACAGGGTTGTGAGACTTCATCTCATACTTTGGACATATTGTAAGGATTCCTGGAGACGTACACCATGCTTAGTAAACTGGAGGGTCAGTGAAAAAAAAAGGAAGATCCCCAACAAGACGGACTGGCACAGCAGCATCAGCAATGGGCTTAAGTGTAATGATGACTGAGTAGGGCATAGGACCAGGCGGTGTTTCATTCCCTTGTGCAAAGGGATGCTATGAGCTGGAATTGACTCGATCACATCTAACAACAACAACTGTTAATTCTGTGAGGTGGGAAAATAATAGTGTTGTTGAGAAAATATGCCTCTTTTAGAGCTTGTTCTTGTTGTTGGATGCCATCAAGTCGATTCCAACCCATAGCTACCCTACATACAACAGAATGAAACACTGCTCGGTCCTACACCGTCTTCACAACTGCTGCTAAGCTTGAGCTCATTGCTGCATCCACTGTGCCAATTCATCTTGTTGGGGTCTCCCTCTTTTTCGCTGACCTTCCACTATACCAAGCATCATATCCTTGTCCATGGACTGGTCCCTTCTGATAATATGTCTGAAGCTGGCATTTAAAGAGCATTCTGGTTGTATTTACTCCAACACAGATTTGTTTGCTATTCTGGCAGTCCACGGTACCTTAATATTCTTCTTCAACACCATAACTCAGATGCATCAATTCTTCTACAGTCGTCCTTATTCACTGTCAAACTTTCACATCCACGTGAGGTTACTGAAAATACCATGGCTTGGGTCAGGCATACCTTAGTCTTCAAACTAACATCTTTACAAATTTGTCTAATACAATATGCCATTTGATTTCTTGTCTGCTATCTTGGATCCAAGTAACATGTTTGACAACTTCAATCTTTTCTCAATTTATCATGATGTTATTTATTGGTCCAGTGGTGAGGATTCTGTTCTCTTCACATTGTGATGTAACCCATACCAAAGACTGTGGTCTTTGATCTTCATCAGCAAGTTTTTTTAAGTCTTTTTCTATTTCAGCAAGCAAAGATGTATCATCTGCACATCACAGGTTGTTAACGAGTCTTTCTGCAATTCTGATGCCATGTTCTTCTTCATATAATCCAGCTTCTCAGATTATTTGCTCAGCATACAATCTGAATAAGTATGGTGAAAGAATACAACCCTGGTGTACACCTTTCCTGATCTAAACCATTCAGTGTCCTCTTGTTCTATCTGAATGACTGCTTCTTGGTCTATGTACAAGTTCCTCTTGAGCACACTAAAGTGTTCCAGAATACTCATTCTCTGCAATGTTGCTGTATACTGAAATAGAAGGAATAAAATGATAAATTGTCTGCAATCTGCTCTGAAATACTCCAGCAAAAGAAAAGGAGAGGGCGACAAATAAAAAATACAGTAAAATGTTACGTTGATTATTGAAGCTAGCTGGTAGAGGTTCCTTGTGTTTTTTTATTTTCAAAATAAAAAAGTTATTTAAACAAAAGCCAAAGAAAGTGGTGGCCCCTATTGTTGGAAAGGCAACCAAATGAAAAGTGCCTTTGATACAGTTCTTTCTAGTCTTATTTTTCATAGCTGCCATTTGACCTATAAATGAGTATCTCCCTAAAGCAGTATTTTATAAGTTCCTAGAATTAAAAGAACATATTTCTTCACTTCTTTTTACATCTATTACAGGCAACACATAGAACTGTCACAAGCAGTTAGACGACTACTTAATAAAACCGATGATGATCTACATACAAATGGTAACTGAAATAACAAAATTCTCAAGAAAAATTAATGCAGAAATCTTTCCCTGAGTATCTATAGTGCAATGATATTATATTTTAGGAAGAGTCATTTCTGAGGAGGTGAAGGTTCACTATTTGGAAAACAGAAGATGGAGTTGAAAAAACTACAAGTAGTCACTGAACAAAACAGAAAGAGGATGAGAAAAAGGAAATGGAAAGTAGGGCCAAGAAAGAAGCCAAAAGGAAACGGTAGAGAATGAGACCTCAGAAACAGATCAAAGGTTTTGGATGCCAAAGAAGTAGTTTACCAAATCATTCTTTTTCTGTAACCTAAATTATAAAACAAGAGTAAATCTTAAAGACCATTTATCTCAAGACCCTTATTTGGAAAATGAGGAAACCAAGTTCTAAAGTGGTTATGCAACATTTGCTATAGAACCAGAGCTCAGTCAGATACACCCACTCCCAGCTCAAATGCTCTTTCCACTGCTATGATTCACTTTATTGTTGTTGTGTGTTGTAGAGTCTCCTGACTCCGTGACCCTATACAGGGTTTTTGTGGTTGTAAATCTTTGCAGGACCAGAAAGATTCATCTGTAGTGGCTAGGGGATTCAAACTGTTGACCTTATGGTTAGCAGCCCAACACACAACCCACTATGCTAATTATTAATGCACAGACTATATTTCTGTGAAAAGTCATAGAAAAGCAAGGAATTAACTGAAGCTAGAATATAACATTCAATTTCTAATAAAAACAATAAATTTTACCCTTGTTACCTATAAGAACTTTGTATTGATACCCTAACTCTTCTTTAGCTAATCATTAGACAAACAGAACCAGTTTTTTGACTTCCTACATAAACTTCAAATACCTTTTGGGTTTTGTCCCTGGAATCCAATGCATTCTCGATAGAGCTTTTAGCTGACTTGCCATCCTCTTTTCCTGCTTCCTGCCTCTTCTGTTGCTGCAGTTGCTCTTCCTCTTGTCTGTCTTTTTCTTCAAGTTTTTTCCGAACTTCAGCTTCTTCATATCTAGTTGAAAAAAGAAGTCAAGATCTTAGCATAATTGTGGGAAGTAAAAGGAGTTTTAGCTTTGTAAAATTTGTGTTCTGCTGTGGGGTATTTCACAGCTGAATACGCTCTCTCCTCCAACTGAAATTTGACCCTGCCAGTCTTCTGTTACAAACTATAGTTCATAGATTTGCCCTTTGAGGCTAACTGTAGACTTACTTCAAACTGCTCAAAGGTTTTAAAAAGAAAACTCCATAATCTCAAACTGGTTATTTAATGCTTTTTTTTATTTCCCATCCCATTACTTTTAGCCTTTTAATGATTCAAATCTACTGCAGTTTCATTTTCAAAGGCTTTACAATCCTCAAATACTTTCTAAAGAGATAGTCCAAATATCATACTTGTGTTTATGATTTAGAGTGAAAATGTTAAAATGAAAATTAAAAAGTGTATTTCTATAAAAAACATGTTACTAAGACGATCAGGTTAAATTTTTGAAAAGGGTGAATTCACTGGACTTACCAATTTCTTACTAATTAAACAGCTATCTTAATCTATAGTTAGCAGCTTATGAGCAACATTTACTACCATTGTCCAGTGGGACTTTGTTATCAGGCATCTACAAACTTGTTTACTTAGCAATATCTGAGTTTCAAATTTTTTATTTGTTTTCTTTATATAATTACTTTTTTTTAAAAGTTTATATTGTAGATCGAGTATAAAAACATCAGTTTTACATGCAACAAATCATACACCTTGTTTCATGAAAATGATTACAATCCCCTTCATGTACTATCACTCAACAGTATTTCTCTCTATTCACTTTAGCTTTTTTTTTTTAAAAAAAAACAAACACTCAAGCTTATATAATAATTTACATCACCAAAGAGCACATTCTGCAGGTCTGCCTCCTGGTCACCAGCTCTCAGTCCCTCACTTCCCAAGAATCTAGAGTCCTCAGCTGCTCCTTCTCTCCAAGTCACTATTTCTGCCTCAATCTCTGGTGTCACTTCTTCTCTGGATAAGGTCCTGCATTGATGGTCCTAGGGTCCTCTGTTTCTGGACTGTTAAGATTATCCACTCCCTTATTTTTGTTATAAAACTTCTACCTTTACAACTGTGACAGTTGCAATTAGTCATGATAAGAATTACTATTGAATCATAAGAATCTTATCCCCATCTCTCTTTTTTTTTTTAGGTTTTTATTATGGATTGAGTAAAAGCTTACAGGGTAGACCATCAGTTTTAAATTCAACAAATCATACACCTTGTTTCATTAAAATGATTATAATCCCCTCCAAATACAATCAACTAACAGTATTTCTCTCTATTCACTGTAGCTATTTTTAAAAAACAAAGCAAAACAAAAAAACACCACTCAGGCACATATAATAATTTACACCTCCAAAGGGCACAATGTGCAAGTCGGCCTCCTGGATACCAGCTCTTAGTCGCTCCCTTCCCATAAATCTGTAGTCCTCAGCCACTCCTCTCCATGCCCCCATCTCTGGCGTCATCACTGCTTCTCTGGTTAAGATCCCACATTCTGCTTGTGCTCTTCTCGCTTGATGGTCCTAGGGTCCTCAGTTTCTGGACTGTAAGATTAACCACTCCCCTGATTTTGTTACAGAACTTCTACCTTTTACAATTCTGACAGTCGCAATTAGTCATGATAACAATTATTCACTATTGAGTCCTACGAATCTTATCCCCATCTCTTTTCAGCAAACCCATCTAGACAAGATAAAGACTATTCAGTGGGGACTTCTTCTCCGCCCATACCCCACACTCTTAAACTAAACTCCCTCTTGAAACCTTGTAAGCCAGTCACTTTGTGCCTCTATGGCCCCCTCATTTTAGGTTGTGTTGTTGCTGTCAGGTGCCATCTAGTCAGAACCGACTCATAGCAACCCCATGCACAGCAAAACGAAACTATGTCCGATCCTGGGCCAATCCCACCACCGCTGCCACAGTTGATGCCATCAATGATGTCACCTGGCTGATCCATCTTGTTGGGGGTCTTCCTCTTTTTCTCTGACCCTCCATCTTACCCAGCATGA